GGGGGGGGGGAGGTACGAGTGAGACCGGTGAGGGGGGACGAGGGGGCAGTGTTCGGAGCTTTAGGATGGGCAGGGTACGGGAGGTCTGCGGTTTGGGAGGGTTGGCTCCAGACTCTGTGTGTACGACGAAGATGGATATATTGGATACCATAGGAACCAGCCAAAGAGGGAATCCACTGGTGGCTAAAAGTAGACGCGAAAAGCTCGTATGTCGGATGGAGATCGAGCTCTGCGCCACGACGCTTCGCGTCGGACAACTGTCGATGGGATTGGTGGACAGAGTGAAGACGAGGTGGTGGTTGCTGCGGAAGAAAATTGGTCGCTAAAGATAGAAAATCGAAATTTGGTTTTATGGTGACTGTGGCTGAACACGAATTGGATGTAACTACTGATAGTTACTAATTGCGAAAATGTTGAACTATAGATAGTCTGGATTTTGATTGACCTTAACTTTACGTTGATTATTGTTGAAATAGTTGGTTAGTCGGTATATGTTGGGATAGATTGCTCGATAATGGATTATTGAATATTTTTGGGTAAAATGATGTACTGAACAGTGACGGAATATAGGTGGGATTAACGCCGGTATTTATATAACCATGTTAGTTCGGAATTATTAACGTTGCCTAGGGTTCAGGGGTTTGCGAATGGATTTTTGTTGGATAACAACGTCCGGTAAGGATACCGATATTGGTACCGTTATGTTACTGTCTTACCGATATTTTCTGAAACATTTGTTTCGTAGCGGAAAATTCGTAAATTTCATTACTTCCGATACACAGAATTTAAATTATTTAAATAAATGGTAGTTTATAATAATCATGGAAAATGTACAAAATAGTATCATCAATTTCATTATTTTTCCATGTACGATGATCATGATCATAGTTTCGTTCCGGCGAAAAGAAGAGCACGGTAGATCGAGCAGTACATTGTCGTTCGCGGTTCCTCTCACAGATGGCGACAGCAGTGCAGTTTCTCTTTCGGACTCTGACGTCTCTTCATAACCAAGCTTTGGATACGCTCCAGCAGAATTACTGTAAGCAATTTCACCGAACACTTTATAACAAATATCAATAGAAAATAGGATTTGCAAGATAACACAGAATATAAACCAAACTGAACTGCACTTCTCCCGCTCGCACTCGCTTTAACCTAGGACTGTGTACACCGTGGTGGCTTAGTATGGTTTAGCCATGT